CACTTGCAGTTATATAGCGAGAAAAACTAGCGAAGCGGCGACACGATCGTCAGGGGGGGGTCTCGCCCCCCCCTCGTCCCCTCTTGAATCCGTCCCTGTGTCCATCTCAGCAACACTATGTGTTATTTGTCAGTCAGGCTTCTGTAACGATTTGATTTGATTCTTCCTCCTGCGCCTACTTGCTCGAAGATGAAAAAAGTGGGTGTTTTTGTCCCTGTGTATTAACCATTCAACTCTCGTCCTCTGTCTCCAGAGTATTTCCTCGCGGTGAAACAGTTCCACGAGCCGGTCGCTTATTTTAATTTCCTGTCGGCTAGGACCGGATCTTTCTAGAACTCCTCATAGCACCGCCAGTTCATTTTTTAATGCTGCTAGCTCCGGCCTGACGTTGCCAAACTGCAGTTGATCCCATGTCGCTAGCTCTCCTGACAGATTCTTTAGTTTACTCTTCACTGATCAACTGATTCTCCCGGGCCATGTGTCCAGCCATTACTCTCCACATCCGCCGCCGAGGGGCCCCCCTCTCCCAACAGACTTCATATTTGAAAGGTCGCAGGCCTCACCCACAAAAAAAAGGTCACGGGCCCCTTTTGCATGCATGCATGCACTTCATGTAGACGAAGGAACAAAGGTACGTGATCCGAGCTAGCTGCGGCCAAGTGCTCAAGTGTGGCCATCGGGAAAGCAAGAGACCATGCAGGGCTTGCCAGTTGCCACACCCCGGTCCAACCGCACTCTTGTGTACGTTCCCCCGGCGACTTTCCTCTCCAAAGTCCATTCCAGTCCTTTGTAACCAATATCAGTTAATCCACATATATCTAGAGCATCCCGGAACGCATCCATCTGATATTGGCTTCGGCTGCCGATTCCATCGTGTTCATATGCATGGAGAATTTCATTAAAGTCTTCTATTACAACCCATGGCTGATTCCCTGACCCGGCAATGCCACGCAACATGTCCCATGTCTTATACCTCTCACTTGTTTGAGCTTCTCCATTGACAAAAGTGATTCTAGTTTGTGTTTCTGTCATCTCCTCTACAGACACATCAATATGATATTTTGAGTAACCAATAACTTCCAACTTTATTTCATCATTCCAAAAAATTCCAAGTCCACCACTCCTACGGTCCTATCAAAGCTACTTACAACAAAGCTTTTATTATATCCTAGTGATCCTACCAAACTCTCCACACGTGAACCCTCTATCTGAGTTTCAAGAATGCATACAAATAGAGGGGGCAAGTTGACTCGATTCTAGTTTGTGTTCACAATTCAGAACCTACATTTCACTTTTCACTCTTTGTTTCACAAAAATAACATATTTCATTTATACATTTTCAAATAATCTTTTTCACTCCTTTGAAATAAATTGTTACACATTTTCAAAAAGTTAGTTTCACACCGATACATTGCAATTTCACTTTCTGTATTTACTATTTTACAATTCAGAATCTACATTTCACTTTGCACTGGCTCGTTTCACAAAAATCACATCTATTTCAGTTACACATTTTTTAAAATAACATATTTCACTCTTTTGAAATAAATTGTTACACATTTTCAAATTACCAGTTTTACAATTTGACATTTCAGTTTTATATTTGGGTAAAAATGGTTCCTATGAAATAGGTTGGTTTCACATATTTCTATTGAAAAATGTTTTTTCATAATTTTCTAGTGAAATGGGTTTGTTTCACATACGAAATGTGAAACGTTGAAATTTAAACGTGTTTAAAATATATCCAAGATTGTTCTGGTTCTAAAGGTCTTGACGCCAGGAGTTCAAATGTATGAATTGTTTCAAAAATGAACTTATAGTTTAAATGATATGGATGATTTAATTTAGCTATGATGAAATAAAAGGATGGATTTATGTGTGAGAGAAGGGAGAGAATAAGCTGTCACATGCTGTCTTGCATGCCATATTAAGGATAATACCTTCCTTTTCTTCTTTGTCGGTTCCTGAATTTTCCGGCACATACTTGTGCACAGCGTGCTTGTACGCTGGAGGGAACGGACAGCTGGGTTGATCAATTGCCCAGGCTTTCTTATTAGTAGCCTACGGGCAGACTGTAACAGGATGTTAGTTTGCTGAATAAAATCTTCATACAATCCAAAAAAAAAGATAAATGTATGGCTACTAGCTGTATTTGATGAAGCACAGTATAGCAGAAAAGTAACAATATAATATTTGCGGCTGCACCAATCTACTCCTTCCGTTCGGAATTACTTGTTTTGAAAATGGATGTATCTAGAACTAAAATTTGTCTAGCTACATCCATTTTCACGACAAGTAATTCCGAACGGAGGGAGTAAATACATAAATAAACCACGGATTGATCGCCGGTATATGTCGGAACCGTTCAAAATGACTTCGCACTCCCGTCCCGCTGATCCTTTGCGCAGATCAGCCGGATGACGCCTAGCAGCCACTGAACTAAACTGTGTTTGAACACCTCCGCATGTTTAAATTCATTGTAGTCTATTAAGTTAACACGAATCCACCAGAAGGTTTTCGCAATTGCAAATCCATGTCCATCAATGGAACTCCGTGCTTGCTGTCTCATTCACCACCCAGCATTGCATCTCGAGCGTCAATTCCCTCTGAACCCACTCCGGCCCCTCCGCGAGTCCACAGTAGAGCTGCTCAAGAACCGGCGCGTTGAGGAGCAGGAACCTGGCCAGCGTCCTCTGCGCTCTGCCGCCCTGGTACTGCAGCAACTCGATCTTCCTCAACCGGCTACCGAGGCACGGCGGGACCACCGCCGGCGCGTAGTCGAGGGTGTCGTACCGGGAGTAGTGGAGATGGTGCGCGTTGAGGAGCTCCTCCTTGCTGTGCCCACCGTCGGCGAAGTGGTCGTCGGCGCGAGGCGCTGCTTCAAAAAAAAGGGACAGGAGCTCCAGGTTCGGGGCCTGCATAAGAACGCTGCTCATCGATGCGGCGACGACGACGGGGTCATCGCTGCGCGGCACACTTCCGGTCAGCTCGAGGTGGCGGAGGGAAGGGAACGCCGGGAGATTCACGAAACTCGAACCCATGCGAGCGGAGCATAGGTGGAGGTGCTTCGTGGTCGATGCCAGCTGTTGCAGGAACGAGCCAAGATTGACGAGCTCCTCCTCCGACGTGGCCTCCTCGACCTCGAGGATGTCGATCTTGCACGACGTGACGGCCGGGAAGCCGCCGCCGCCGCCACGCACGGTGAGGAATGAGTCATCGGGGATAGTGCCGCGGTACTCCAAGGAGTGGAGCTCTGGCGCGTCGACGGCGAGCCTGGCCAGCTTGTGGCAGCACCGGAGGGCCAGCCTGCGGAGTCGCGCGTTGTCCAGGAGGGAGAGCGCAGTCACCATGCCGCAGGCCTCGAGCGTCAGGTCCGCAAGCCGCGGGCAGGCGGAGATGAGCCTCTGCACGTGCTCCTCCTCGTCGGGGACGTGGGTGAGATGGAGCGCCTCGAGCGACGGCAGGCTGATGGTCACCGGCGGGGAGAGCCTGCAGTAGCCGAGGCGGAGGAATCGCAGCGTGGCACAGGAGAAGAGCCCACTCAGTACGGTGTACTCCAGGGACGGCCGATTCCACGGTCGAGCAACCCTCTCGTCATCGTCGTCGCTGGACGAGACATCGTCTTCGTCTTCGTCTTCGTCTTCGGCGCTCACCCCGTGGGAATAGTCGTCGGACTCGGGAGACTTCCTCGGCGGATTCACAGCGACGGCTCGAAACTCGACTGGGCTATCGGCGGCGACATCGGCATCGGCATCGGCGGCGTCCAAGCGGTCGTAGCGACCGCAGGCGGAGTCGCGGCCGAAGCGCAGGTCGAGGTCGAACTCGGGGGCGGCATGCCTGAGGGCGTAGGAGAGGCACAGGTCCACCGTGGACTTGTCGCCGGGGTCGTACCCTTCCAGGGACACGCGGAGCGCGCGCAGGGGCACTGCGGCGGCGGCAGGGTACGGGCGCCGGTCGCGCGAAAAGAGGGCGGCATTGACGGCAGCGATGAGGCGCCGCGCCACGCCGTTGTCGTACAGGCTGTCGCTGTCGTAGATGAAGTAGGGCCGTTCCGGCTGCTCCAGGGAGACGGTGTGGACGCTGCCCAAGACGTCGCGCCACCGCGACGAGAGCGCCGCGGCGCGGCCGGCCTCCTTGGCGTCGAGGAAGGAGAGGATGTGGCCGATCACGCCGTCGCCGAGGTTGCTCAGGCGGTCGCGTCCGGCGTCGGCGTCGTGACCCATCGTGGGCGCGCGGCGCCGATCTGCGAGATGCGTCCGGGATACGAAAGGGTATTCTGTGGCGTAGTCGTGTTGAGGAGAAATAACCGACGTTCTCTCCTTCCAAACACGTACGGAGTCTAAAGTCATTACGGTCACGTACGTATACGTTCTTTTCCGCGTCGATGTCGTGCCTCTCAGCTTTTGCGGTTTTTTTCTTCTTCTTTTGCGATCACTCATCTTTTCTAGTGCGAAACAAAGATGTTAAAGTGGATGAAAATTTTAGTGCAAAACAATCATGGACAATCATTAGGAACTCTTTCTACGACTCTAATTCTACTAATCAAACAGTCTACAACAACTTAGGAATGTTGCTTTTCTTTCCCCTCTCGCAAAGAAACTAGTGAAAGCATTCCTTCCCTTGATCTTCGTCGGCGAGTCCCTGGATTCGCCTCCCTCCGCTTGCCGCCCCAGCGACCGATGACAGGGAGAGGATTTCTGGTGTCTCAACTCCGACTAGTAAACAAGTAAAGTTTTATTCCTTGCAAGGGCGCTGCTCAAACGGACGGTTGCGCTTCTTCTTCAAATCAATTTTTCGGGCCTCGGTCCCCCTTAAGTTCATTCTCAGGACGGATCAGATGAAGCTCCAGCATAGATTTCTGCCACCTCCTCAGGGCGGCGAGAATAGGGATTCTCGTCATGCGTAACCAATGACAAATTCTATCAGATTCTTCAGGTCGATTAAGGACTCAACGACGATGATAGCTGCTCCATGTCACTGGTTCTTAGGGGCATGTTCACGAAGACTTCTCGATTGTTATCGACAATGCTAGGCCAGCTCCGGTATCGGAGGGGCTATAGCAGGGCGGCGGCAGCTCATTCTGACGGTCCATGGACCTCGGTGACTAACGTCCGACTGGTCGCTCCTTAGCGACAGATCAATAAAGAAAAAGAAATAAAGTGTTTAAAGGGGGACTTGAACTTTGGCCTCCTGAGTAGCTACAACAGCCACTAACCAACTCATCCGTCTTTTTTTATTGTCCACAATACATAAACAGGGGTATTTGAAGTTTTGAACCCTTCTTCTTTCTATCATATTAGCCAAAAAATAGTCTTGATAACTTGGCATAAGCAAAGTGATAACTATGACATGACCATCATGGTAACTTCAGCATAACGCCCTGATAACAAATAACATGACAAAGGTTGACGACTCTATCATTACAATGCTGATAAGCGTGAGAAGCATGCTAAGCTTAGCATGGGCAACATGAAAACTTTACACGAACATTATCGGGATATATTTCAACAACTTTTCCCCTGGAGAAAATTTACTATGGTCTTTGAGTCTATGTTATTAGCTACGAAAGATACCACTCTTTTTGCACACAAGTTATGCATTTTGGTTACCGGGGTATATTTTCAACAACGAAAAATCATCTGGTCAAGGTTACCGCGGTGTTTATATGTAAATTATCAGGTGTGGATGCGCATATTACCATGTTATTTACACAGGGTGTATGTTTTCAACAATTTTTTCACCTGGTTCAAAGTTATTGTTGTGTTCGTACCTAAGTTATCAGATCTATAGTGCTTAAATGATCATGTTATCTACACATAAATTACCGGGGTATATTTTCAACAACAAAGAGCGTCTGGTCAAGGTTTACCGGGGTGTTTGTATGTAAGTTATCATATGTGGATGCGTATATTATCATGCTATTTACATAAAAACTATTGAGTGTATGTTTTCAATAATTTTTTCACCTGGTTCAAAGTTACCTTGGTATTTGTACCTGTTATCAGGTCTACAGTGCTTAAATAATCATGTTATTTACACATAATTTATCGGGATGGTTTCAATAACAAAAAACGGCTAGTAAGGTTAGCACGGTGTTTGTATTGAAGTTATCATGTGTGGATGCATATATTATCATGATATTTTCACATAAGTTGTCGGGTGTATGTTTTCAATAATATTTACCTGATCGAAGTTATCGCGGTGTTTGTACCTAAGTTATCAGGTCTACGGTGCTTGAATGATCATGTTATTCGCACGAAATTTATCGGGGGGTATGTTTTAACAACAAAAAATTATTTGGTCGAGGTTACCATGGTGTTTGCATTTAAATTATGAGATTTGGATGTGTATATTATCATGATATTTACATAAGTTATGGGGTATATGTTTTTAATATTTTTTTCATGTAATCAAAGTTACCGCGGTGCTAATACCTAAGTTATCAGGTATATGGTGCTTAAATAATCATACTATTTACACAGAAATTAGCACGTTTTAGTAAAAAAATCTGAGTCAAATTTCGTGTAGATATGAAAAGCACATTGCCTTTTAGTTCTTCAGGAAAAAGAGACATCAATGAGATGGTTGCTTAGTTAAATTAACTACTACAACATGCACGGTTCGAATCACTTGGTTGGCAAAAAACTTGTCAGAAATTGATTCTACTGTTCGTTTGGCACCTAGGAGCAGGAACTCCATGTTAAAAAACTGTCTTTCTGGGAGTGGCGTTTTGGCTCCTAGGTGCATATGCACCCATTGTCGAAATCCAAATTCCTAGAAGTTGAAAAATTCGAAACAAAAATCCCGCGTGTATATCCGGATATTTTATGTGCGTTCACAAGGTTTCGGTGAAAAACGACGTTTTTTGTGGCTTGTGTAAAAAAGACAATTTCTGATGCTTCATTCTAACTATTCACGAGGCATTTCTTTATCTTTTTTACACAAGCCACAAAAAAC